GACTCGTTCCCTCCCTCGCGAGGATATGAAGTGGCGGCCTTTTACTTGGGGGACGTCAACCTGCGCGCCGGCTTTCTTCTTCACCGGAGGGTCGGAAACGATGAAGAATCTAAAGAGGAGGTTGAGGAGTTCGGAATCGCTGAAGGGGCGGGAGGGAGGGAGGGAGCGCATGCTACACTTTCCTTTCAAGCGGAGTGCATGTGCGCGCGCGACGACGCACGTTCAGGCAGGCCCTTCACGTCGTCGTTTTCGAAGATTTATTCGACGAGCAGAAGTTTACGAAGTTAATAAGAATTTTTTTTTTTTTTTTTTTTTAAGAACTTTTTTTACAAAATCGCAATTTTGAGGATTGTAAATAATAAACGAGAGCAAACGACGCTCGCGAGCGAGCGCTCGCTCGCGGCGGAAAGAAGCGAACGAGGAGAAGGGAAACGTACACGTAGCGACAGCGAAGGCGATGTACTTGAATTAACTTTGGGGTGTATTTCTAGCACTCTAGGTTTAGCTCCGGAACACTCACGGTATGTTATATGCTGGCGAAGACCCCGCAATTCTCCGCGAGTCTTCTTTCTCGCTCACTCGGAGCGCAGCGCGAATGACGATGAAGCGCGCGTTCTCTTATCACCTTCCCTTTTAATTAACGCATCCGATTTGATATCCGATAAGTATCCGCGATAACAAGAATGAGAGATGCGCGTGAATTCAAACCCGACCGACGTGGTATCTGCGCGATCGCAAATTCGCGATTGGATTTTCGAGAGTCCGCGGGCGATAACCGAGGCGCGATAAGAGAGGAGGCGCGCGAAAGGGGAGCGAGCGGCGGCTCCGCTTTGCGCGATATCGGAATCACCTGTTTCCGAACGTTGGCCCTTATCGATCGTAAATACAGGTGTGTTCTTGGGTGACCAAGTTGCAATAGAAGAGGCGGAATAGAAGAGACACGCGTGAAAAAAATAAAGTCAGAAGGAAAGAGAAAGAGAGAGAGAGAGAGAAAGAGAGATATGAGGACATGCGGCGTGTGTGTGATACGTGAACAAGTCGTGTCCTCGGGTGAGCATTCAGGTTTCGGTCGTTTGGGTGGCTGCCTGCCTGCCCGTGTTACCCGATGCCCCCTTCACCTTCACTGCACATATAAGGGCTTGCGAGCAGTCCCCACGCGCACGCACCAGCGCAAAAAATGCATACGCATACGATAACGGGGGTGCGTGCCTGAGGGCTATCCTTATGGGGCTTGGGGAGGCCATACAATACTTTAGTAACCCCGTAATACCTCCCCTGTTCAACGTAGCCGGTGCAGATAGTGGCTCCGGGAGAGTGTAAAGTCGCGCCTCTCCCTCTCACCTCCGCCGAGGTGAGTGTACATCAAGGGGGGAGTAAAGGGTTGGTTTAGCGGGAGGGACTGCATCAACAAAAGGGATACGACCAATATCTCACGTTTGTGTGCCAATTTATATCAAGCGCCGTCAATACCGGGTTAGGAGAAAAGGATGGCTTCTCTCTCCTCCCCGTGACGAGGGGAATTCGGTTACGATACGCTCCCGTGTCGCGCGCACGGAAATGTCCCGCTTTCGAGATCTGACTCGATGAATAAACGCGAGAGATAATATTTTTATTTTTCAACTATTTCCAGAGTTTTTCTCTTTTCGGTCGCAACGCGATGGCTCGCGTTGTGTCCTCGTTGCGTCACTCGATAGCGAGACGTGACGAGACCATCGAAAGATCTTTTCCTCGTGCGGTGCACGCGTTTATCTTTTTGATAAATTTTTTTTCTCCAACCAGGTAGTCGCAACGTTGCCAATATAATAACTGACGAAGTCGCTCTGTCAAACGTGGCGCGAGCATGTTTCGCCAGCCACATCAGGATTTATTATCGCGTAAAGGATTTCGGACGGAGGGTGGGCGTCCAATGAATAAATCACGATCGCGGTAAATAACGACGCTACCGGTAATTACCGGTAATTTCGCGGCGCACGATGGAGGGGTGTAGAAACGCGGCACCTCTCGCGAAGGGCCGCAAAAGGGGCAGGTTGGGAAACGAGCGGCGCCGCACGGTTAAACCTTCCCGCAAGGTGTATCGCTGGTGGGCACAATTAAAACAAGCAGTCAGAGAGCGCGCGGCTTTCGTGCCGATTCGGAATTCTGTTTAATCCCAGCCCGAGCGCGCAAATGGGGTGCATAAATCGCGCGGATGCCGAATATTCGGGCGCGCCGGCTTTCGCACCGAGGAGCCGCGTTGCACGGTGCAGTCGGGCCGTGCACAACGCACGCACGCACGCACGCACGACTCACGCACGCACGCACGCACGCACGCACGCACGCAACACGTATACACCGGCCCTCCTATTTATACCGCGAAATTCCCGGAAGGAGAAGGCAGATAGCATCGAACCACCGACACGTACGAAAGGAGGACCTACCCATAATTTTCCCCCGATTCGTAGACCGTTGTCGGCCACCACCGGCTGCACGCACATCCGCATTCAATCAAGCCGCGCGAAATTCGTTCTCTGCTTTGCTTTCTTTATCTTTCTTCCTCTCCCCGTTTGTCGCGTCACCTTGTCAGCGGAGGCCCCCCTTCTATTTCCTCGTCTTCGTTTCTTCCTCCGGGAGAGAGTCGGTCGACTATTCTCTTTCCTATCTTTTTTCTTTTGTCGTCCGAGCGGGAATGCACGCAGCACCGCTTCGGCTTTTCATTTTTCTCGCGCTTCGTCTCGTCGAGAAATTTTGTTTGGAGATGACGCGAGATATAAACGTGGTGTAACAATACAAAATTTGTAAATGTTACACATCATGGAAAAAAATATGTCCAGGTTTTTAATGTAAACTCGAAATTCAATCCTCATCCTCATTTGTTCGTTAGATGTTTGTAAAAAGTGAGGCGAGAATTATTCTCTGATGTGGAAGAAAAAAAAAACAAAAAAAAAAATTATAATTTTCAAGCTGTTACAAATTGACTAACAATTCCGCGCGGCGCGTCGGTTTTCTTCAGAGCGTTTTTATCTTCTGGCAAAGCAAATTAGCCCTTCAAGGCGACGCGAATTCGGTAATCGGCCGCGGGAATTCTGGGAAGATAATAATATTTGCCCCGATGGCAAATCAACCGTCCAGACGGCGGCCAGACAAGACAATGATAGATCAATCTTGCAAGTCTCGCACGCTCGGATGCGTGTCACGTCAGTCCGTTTCACCCGCTTCGCGACCTCACGATCGCGTTTTGCCAATGTCGGTCTGACTGACTTAGAAAAAAGTCATCCAATGACCAATGGCGATGTATTACAACCAACGGCCGTGACCGATTAAAATACACACAACCGCTTTCGAACGGTGTGTCTTCTTTCCGTCAAAATCGGTCGAGAGGTCTATGGTTGTGAACATCGGAAGTTTAGCGCGTGGATGATGATGATGATAATGATGATACACAACAGTCTCTTTTCGGTCTCTTTTCGTTTTACGGTAGATTTCCTAGGCGTTCAAGACGCCATCTTGTCATGATAAAAGACGCCGATGAGAAACAAAAAAAAGTATTTCTTTCAACATGCGAATAAAATATTTTTCTCCTAAATAAATAATATGTGTACTAATTAGTGTAACAAAAATGATTTCATAACTGTTTTTTTCAAAAATGTTTTTAATTAATGTAATTGTAAAAAGAATTTATATTTTACTGTATTTTATATTTTATTGCATATCTATAAATAAGTAAATATATTTACATACATATATACTTACTGTGAGTTATCAATTCATTTCCAACACTTCTAGCTAGAATATTTGTCAAGAGGGGGCAGTAGCAAACAGCACATCCTATCATATCCTCAAGAGTTTTGTGTTTTTCTAAAATTTTTTATATTCAATATTAAAGTAACATAAATAAAAATAAGAGAAAAAAAATATATTAAATTGTTCAGAAACCTCGTAGCGTTTTCCAATAGACATCATCGTGACAACATGTTCAAGATATCACGTAAATAAAAACATTGAACAGTATATTAGCATTTACGGAAGCTAAATTGTATGATTCGGTAGGATAAGTCTTTAAATTTCACTAAAAAAACGCTACGTACTTTTTGAATAACCTAATAATAACATAAAAGTGTTTAATGATTATTCGACAATCAAGAAGTTAATCAGATTTGAAATATCAAAGAGAATCGAGGAACGAATGAGAAATCGATTATCGGCTAATCGAAAGATATCGAATCACTACTTTGTTATTTATTTTTTGTATTTGAATGGCTGGTTTGCAATTTTGAATATAGCAAGGATGCTGATTTGAATATAGCGAGTATTAAATGTTAATTGTTATGTTAATTTTTATTTCAATTCTCCTGACAATTTTTAATTCTCCCAACAATGCTTAAAAACAATTATTAATATAAATATTTTACTCGGTATTTCAACATTTAAGATCCTGAGACAATAGAGAAAATATTAGAAATAGGAATTAAAAACAGAAGTTAAATGTAATGCACAATGCGAAAAAATAAAATATAACATATAAATATATATAAATATAGGCTGTATATCATGCATACCATGACATACTTCTTGTATTTATATGTTATATTTTATTTTTTGTCATTGTATAGTACAGTTAACTTTTATTTCTAAACTTCTCTTATTCCTAATATTTTCCCTATTGTGCTCAGGTCCTAACTCGCGTGCAATATTTCTCGAAATTTGACGAATATCGATAAATAATAAAACTCGAACTATCGAACGCCATATTCGATATATCGACCTTGGGACCAAATACTGACTGGTTGCTACTGCATATCGAGACGGAAATATATCGCTCGGCTGTGTTCTAAAATTTACCGCTACCAAAACTTCTATAGTTCACGTTCAGTATATTATACGTTTTCACTATATTGATAACAAATTTTTGAACACAGCCCTTGTTTCCTCATGGCCCTGTTCGCTTATTACTGGCAATATTGAAAAATCTATAGTATACGTGACATGAATCTATAGATTTTCAGTACTGCTAGTAAAAAACGAACGCAGTCCATGTTTGTGTCTGGTTTTGCGCGTCCATGACCCAAACCTTAGCAGAGAGAAAAAGAATCACAAAAGAAACATGCACAAATGTTGGTGACAGATGAGACAGCACATATACGATACACACGCGTGCTGTACGAGATGCAAATGACTTGAAAACCAAATACATCGACTATCACGTAAGTAGGCAATTGTAGCATTAAATTTGTGTCGTATCTTATTTATTCTGTTCCGTTTCGCGATTGAATCTGTCGTTGCAAAAAGGACATGACTCGCCATAGTTTTGCAAAATTAAATCAACATCGCCACGTGGTTTTACTTAGGGGAACGAGAATAACGATCGTGTAAAGATAATCTTTCCTTCCCGTTCTTTCTTTTTATTTCACTTTGACAAGCAGCTGTTTGATGCGTACGGAAGCTGGAAAAAATTCTCACCGAGAGCGTCCCATTTACGCGCTGTCTATACTTTTAATTCCAACACAAATCGATAACACACACACACACGTAAATATTTTAAATGCAAATAAACACTGTATTATTTAATTTTTATATTAATTTCAGAAGAGAGTAAATTTTCAAAACTTTTTTTTTGAAACATTCACTTCGACATTATGTGGGACGAAGGCCTGAATACTTTTATTTTGCCTACAATATCTACCATGATCGTCTTGGTGCTTACAATAAACTGCATTCGGAGTTTTCTGGGCAAACCACATATTCAACTCAGGGATGTTACAAAAAAGCACAATTGGAAGCTGATTACAGGAACAACTAAGGTATACTATTTCAAGAAATTTCTAGCACCTCAGTTTCCCGAAAGTAAGATATTTTCTTGTGTCTCTGCCAAACGTCGATTTTGCATAAATATTACATCGTGTGCATGTGTAATTTTTTTCTGTTACGCGTCAAAAACAATATTGACTCTCCGCATCTTGTTCTTCGTCTTTTTTCGTATTAGATCACAGCACTCGCGACATATGTGATTTAATCAGGAGACAGTTGGGTATTAATTGGTTAATTTGATTTTACATGTACAGGCATATTATTGTAGTATCTGTGAGGCTCTACTATTGAATCTCGACGGCCTTCTTTGCGACTCCTGTGGCGTGTGCGCGGATCGGAATTGCATAAAGCTCGCGGACAAGCGGCTGAAATGTAAGGCCGTAGTTATGAATAGCGATCAGCCAATGAAACACCATTGGATCAAAGGTGTGTGTGTTCGCCAACCTATCGAATGCGGAAATGTGATCAATTATCTCTTTACGATATTTTTCCTCCCGTCTCTTTTTCCCCTTAAACGTTTACCTTTTTGTCTCGAAAGGTAATTTACCACTTGTTGCTACGTGTTACATCTGTGAGGAAGAGTGCGACATAGATCCCGGCCTGATAGACTGGTGGTGTTGTTGGTGTCAGAGATGTGTTCACGATGCATGCAAATCCTCTCTCTCTGAAGTAATGATTGTCATGACGCTTCTTCATTCAGTCAGCAGATTGTTTTTTTGAAAGAGCTCACGTCTCTTCTCTTTCAGATCTGCGATTTTGGAAAGTTCAAACTGATGATTATTCCGCCGGGAAGCTTGGAAGTGATTAATCGACGCACCACAATGAGACGCTGGCTGCATCTTCGTTCGGTGATAGCACCGAAGTGGCCCAACTGGAATCCGATCATCGTTGTAGGTGAGCAGAAATAAAAATTTAGCAAAATTACGGGGAGAAAACAAAGTTAGATCGATGTGCAACTTCTTCTTCTTCTTCTTTCAGGAAACAGGAAATCTGGTAACAACGACGGCGGTCAGATTTTATCTCTGTTCAGAAGATTGTTGAATCCCGCACAGGTGGTAGATCTGGCGGAACGCGATCCGGTCGCTGCACTCGAGTGGTGTCGTCTGTTGGGAAAGACGCCGTCTACTATACTCGTAGCCGGCGGGGATGGGACAATCGCCTGGTTACTCAACACCGTTGACAAGCTCGAATTGGAGGTAAACTGTTTTTCTTTTCGATTCGCACACCAAGCGTTCGCACACGAAAGTATAGATAAAATGTTTTTATACGACACAGCCTGTTCCGTCTGTAGCAATAATTCCTTTGGGGACAGGCAACGATTTGTCCAGAGTGTTAGGATGGGGAAAGGCGCACGACTCGGATTTGGATCCTCTGGAAGTCTTGAACAAAATACAAACAGCGAAGAAAGTGATGCTCGACAGGTACGTAACGACATGGGTGACGCAAATGTATCTATTATTTTATAGTTCGAGTGGATCTACATACAAAGCAAAATTCACAGGTGGTCAGTGATGATAAAACCGTACGGCGGCCTGGGATTCAGAGGCGCGAATCGATCATTGTTCATGTACAATTACATAAGCGTGGGCGTGGACGCGCAAGTAACTCTGAATTTTCATCGTACAAGAGAGAGTCGATTTTATTTGTTCAGTCATAGGATATTTAACAAGGTACGTTTTTTCTCGTTCTAATCTAGCCGCTTGTCGTGTTTATCTTGAAAATTTCTTACACGAACGCGTGTCCCGCAGTTGTTGTACTTAGGTTTCGGCACGCAACAAGTTGTCGAGAGGGAGTGCAAGGATCTTGACAAAAGTTTGGAGGTCTATTTGGACGACAAGAAAGTGGAGTTACCTTCTATTGAAAGCGTGGTGATACTTAACATTCCGTCTTGGGCTGCCGGCGTAGATCTGTGGTCAATGGGAGCGGAAGGTTCTGTGTAATTAAAAAAAACTATATGCAAATAGATATGTTCTTTTGGCTGATTGTTTATATTGTTAACAGACGACGAAGATTTCGAGGTACAAAGTATTAACGATGGGAAGTTAGAAGTGGTGGCCCTTTACTCGTCATTCCACATGGCTCAGCTGCAAGTGGGTCTCTCGAAACCGCATCGGATAGGTCAAGCTAAAACTGTAAAGGTAAAGTTTCAACAAACAAAAAAAAAACGATTATCTATAATAGTGTATATAAAAATATTGTTCAATATATTTATTATTTAACACAAGTAAGAATTTAAAAATTATTATTAATAACATAAAATTATTACTTAATATTTAAATTATTATTTATCATACTTTTTACTTAGATAAAATTACTGCGGTCGTGCGCCATGCAAGTAGATGGCGAGCCGTGGCATCAACATCCCTGCGAATTCATTATAACTTATCGCAATCAAGCGTGTATGTTAATGAGCAACGATTTTTAAATACGCGTACATATACATCGCGCGCTCTTATTACTTATGTGGTGTGGAATCGTGTACACGCGCATTTGCACAAATGCATTTATTTATTATACGCTACCTGGCGGAAATTCTCCCAAACATTACACAGAAATGAAAATAATCTAGTCATTGTTGTTACAAAAGAATATATATATATATGTCTTTTATGATATTCTGTAGCCAATTTTCATAAGTCTGTGCTTTATTGATATGCGTTATTTATAATAAAAATATATATGTACATAAATAAAAGAACAAATAAAACTCAAATTCTCTTGAAGATGTGTTGTTGTCAATCAAAGATAACATAATTGCCGTAATATTTTACAAAATATATTATTTAATGTACATGTTATATTTTTAAAAACTTTCACATCAATCTACCGTTTTGGAGAAGAAATTCTCTTTTTCTACCATTCTATATAAAAAAATCTATTTAAACCGCGAAGAAAAGCGATTTTGACAGTTCGTCGTATACGTGGAAAAAATTAAAAACGTGACTACAATAAAGTCACGCGACTTTAGTCACGTGTTGGTTTTCTACTTCTCTCTCTCACTATTTTCCGAGTTTGATTTTCATGCATATCTGACATCTCTCATAAGTGTATTGTATGGTTTGTAAGACGTATATACTAGCTGTCATCGCGGGTCGGCTGTCGTAACAGGTTGTGTTCATTAACACATGTTAAAATAAAAATAATAATATTGTACGCGTAGCGCGCGCTTGTGTTGTGCTAGTTTCATTAAAAAAAGATTCGATTTACTGAAGTTTAAAAGTGACAGTCGCACAAACGTCACAAACATGGAAAATTTCGATAGCGTAAAACAGATAAAATTAATCAAGTTATGACGGAAGATCAAGTGCATTTTTTAATCATTTTGACTACTATTTGGGTTTTGCACGAGATGACTGTATTGATGAAAGACGGTGATTAAATTTTAGCTCAAGAAATGGAAAGAAATAAAATTAAGATAAACAGATTTTTATTAAATAAACGTAAAAACTTTGAGAAAAAGACGGAGAGAAAACAATTCAAAAAAGTAAAATGTGACTTTCCTGGTGTAAGTACATCTATACGTATATTTTCACAAGTAGCGTGTTTAAAAGTAAAATAATTTATTAAAACACAGTTATTATACAAATACGTGTGTAAAAATGATATACAGAAATTTACGACTAACTACTGTTAATTCTGCGTAAACGTAACACTCTCTTTTTTTGAGATGTCAGAAGGATTCTTTCTTGAAACAGAATCCGAACTGATCACATTTGTATCGAAGAATTTTGGCGAGTTGCGGCGGCCCGCAATAGAAAACGGTAATCTTTCCTTTCTTCTTGTCCTGAAGCTGCTTGAACACTTTATCCCAATTAGGGCGACCGGCGTTCGTTCTGGTTTTCAAGCCTGTGATGAGATCCCGCTTTTCCTATAACCAACAAAATGGAAATCAGACAATAATGAGAATCGACGAAAACCAAAGTTATTTTACCAACCTTCTCGTGCAGAAGATCAAGCGCCAGTTGCAAGCCGACCGCTTTCATGTCGTTCTTTTGCAACGCGCTCGTTATGTACATGTGCATCTCGAGAAACCGTTCCATCGTGACGCCCAATTCGGCCTGTTCCATTTCAAGTTGCGACAGCAGATTCACAAACCATTCGAACGAACGTTGATCCCGATTGATCCAAAAGAAGTCCACCTGTAAACAGTTTCGCGATACATTGACGCAAAAATAGATTTTATCCCACGATAAAAAAAAAAAGATACAATCGGAAATGGACGTTTGTAGGACGCACAAATGTGTATTTACTTTGCGCAAATTCATTACGGTCGGAGGAATCTCGCTGGCCCAAGAGAACGAGCACTTCGGACAGGTGTGTCTGGCTTTCCAGTATCGATGCATAATCGACTGGAGTATCGAGGCGAAAGGTGTGACGCCGATTCCCGTGGCGATTAAAACAGCGTGTTGCGCGCGAAAGATGTGACTTGACGGCGCTCCGTAAGGACCGTCCAGGAAAATCTACAAAATTAGGCAATTGCTTAAGATCGTTGAGAAGAGAGAAAGAGAGAGAAAGAGAAAAAACTCTGAAAAACTCTCGGAAAAAATAACCTCCAACGGTTTGCCCACGGGATAATTTATAGGGGGACGAGGAGAGTCCAAGGACTTCAAATCTATGCTCTCGGTCTCGCCGAACTCCTTCTCCAATCTTCCCTCTTCCGCTGCGATCTGCATGCCGATCGGCGTGGTCGGCGTCGTCGCCTCGTCTCCCCTCGCGTTTGACGCTGCGCAACGATTTTAAAACTACTTATCACAAATTAAAAAATTGCAGTTTTATAAAATTTTGTGTGGACATTTTTTTTTTATTGTCTTTCGATCCACGTGATTTATTTTTACCAGCGTTCGGCGACGCGACGATTTCGTAATCGCATGTTTCCAGACTGGGCGTTTTGAAGGCGATGATGGTCGGTTTCGTTCGCATGTAACGGAAACTCTGGGCCAGCGACTTGTTCTGCGGACTCAAGTAAGCCAACCCCAGCGACTTCAATCGCGCTCGTCTCATCTGACACTCGTCGAAACTCCGCTCCGATTCCGATCTCATGTAGTCGCGAAGTCTGCGTTCCCGCAAAAAAAAAAAAAAAGAAAAATTTAACCTTCCCAACCTGATCTCGCAACTATCGAGCAGCTAAATAGACTTGTGTGTGATTGTTTCTTACTAAAGTTTTAATTTAAAGAAAAGCTAGAAATCAAGAAATATTGATAGTAAAAACAAGTAAAATGATTCGAACGGCGCTTGGGAAGGTCAAAACAATATCACGAGAACAAATCGCGCAAACCAGCAATAAATTTCTTATGTAAATTCTCCACTCACGCCCTGAGACGTTCCTTCTTCTTGGTTTTTGTCTGCATGTCGGGCATCGAGTGCGACTTTTCGAGCGGCATTTTGCTGCCGAGGAGCAACTGGTTCAGTCTCCTGTCTCGTTTCGCCGTCACGTCCGTCCATCCTTTATTCATTTCCGACATACCTGTCGGTCAAATTCACACACAATTCAGAAACACGAACACAAAATCGTGTTTCAAAACACGTTGATATTTTTTCAAAAAGAAAAAAAAATCTTACTTTCCGGAGTTTTCAAGAATACAGATTGATTGGTAACGGGCGTGTGCGCGGGAGACATCGTCTTCGACAGATCGGACGTGAACGCGGGATTGTCAAGACCGCTGTGTGTCACGGATCCCGGCGAGGCTTTCTGCGTCACGATAACGGGCGGTGTTTTTCTACCCAGAATTCTGTAATCACATCGAAACACGTTCCGAACGTCACAAAATCACTTCGCTGTGCGTTTCAAATCTTTACACAACCGGACTTACGATTTCCTTTGCTGAACGGTAACGCAGTTCTCGATCGGTAGAATGTCGCCACGGTGAAGTTTGATCTGTTCCTTCTCGAAGTACGAATACAAACTGTTGGTCCACTCGCCAACTGCTCGGATGTGCAACCACATGTAATCTGCGAAACGAAAAATATATTCGTGATTAAAAAAAACTACAATGACGTGATCGAAAACGTAAAAATGATGAGAGAGATCTCAGCTCACCCTCTTGTTCCGGAGCGCTGCTGACGGTAAAAGGATGCCACTCGTACCGCGCGATCACCGGGATGTTGACGAACACGTAATCCCCCGGATGGAAGTGAAAATGGGGCGGTCTCTTGATGACCAGATGCGTGACCTTCGACGGTAACAGAAGACCGGAACTTATGTACGTCTTTCCACGCTGAGAGCGTAGCCACATCAATCGACGAATCTTTTCTACCAGATATATGATCCCGGGTCCGACGAACCATTTCCAGAAGTTCGGGCCGTGAAAGATCGCCAGAATCCAGAACGGTATGTAAAGCAGATGAGACCAGTAAAATATCTGAAAATAGAAAAATTTTTTTTTAACGCAACTTGCAAAGATCGTAAATGTGAGAAACTGTGCAATTTTCCAAACAGAAAGTAATAGTGCACCGTAAATACCTCGAAGCAACCCCCACGCCGTACAAACGGCATTGAACAAACAGTCATAATGACGAGTATAACGAGCAGTATCACTCCCGTTGGATACGCAGTACCTGCCACCAATCCAAAATATCCAGGTCGAGCGGTCAACAACCATTCGGACATGGTGTAATTCCCGCTGTTCATTCTTTCGTCCTTTATTATTACCGTACCTATAAAAATTGCGCAACTAGAATATAATATAAATTTAAGATCAGGAATTAAATTAAATTTTTAAGAAAATGTTAAATTTTAAAAATAGTAATAAAATTATTTTACGTAAAGAATATCGTGAATTTTTAAACAAGCAAATACCGCAATAAACGAGATGCATCAGGGTGTGTATGAGGCTGAAAACCCCGATTAACACACCAGCCATTTTATGAAGGTAAATATGATGATCTAAGGGCAGGACCGAGTTGAAACCGTGGGTTCGTAAAAACGTGATGCACTGGCGCAGCATCAAAACCAAAATGAACGTGCAGTCGAAGTTCAAACATTGGCCTGAGAAATAAATAATTTTTACAACATTGATCGAGCAAAGAGAGAGAGAGAGAGTGAATGTTTTTGTTTTTTAATATTTTAATTTTCTTCTCCTACCGCATGCACGAGCGATCATCACGTAGCCGCTATAGTGTCGATATTCGTAGAGACGAGATATGAAGAGAGCGACGTTGATTAAAATGAAGATCGAAATGAAGGTGATGTAAACGTAATTGTTCTTCATGTACGGCTTCGTTAGTTGATACGGACGAAGGGACGTGAGCGCTGCCAGTGTAGAGGCCTGCTTTGGTTTCGGTTGCGGCGGTACCAGCCATCGATCTATGCTGCGATGATTACGATTTTATTTTTTCTAGTTTTCTACGCGCGGCATATCCGACTGTAATTATGTATTTTTATTAAAATTTATCACGTTGTTCTATTTGTCCACACCTGATCGAGAGATTTTCCAACAGACCCTCGTGTTTCTCCAACTGCCTTTTCAAGGCCTCGAAGGTGATCGCTCCTCTATTGCCCTGATCGGCATCCTCGAAGAGCGCGATCGTCAGGTCCTCAATCTGCTCGTCGCTGAACTTCATCCCATTTTCTTCCATGCAAGCTCTCATCACGTGTTCCAACTCGCGAAGTTGTATCAGTCCGTCACCTTTTTGTCGTTTCGAAACAGAAGCAGAATTACTGAAGATGTGTGTTCAAAACCAACTATTGCCAAAATCTGCAAAACAGTTTGTTTTTTAAATACCGTCGATGTCATAAACTTTGAAGAGGAATCTAATCTTATCGTCCGACGATTTCCCGGCAAATTCGTTCATGGCGTCGAGAAATTCTTGAAGGGATATCGTGCCGGAATTATCTCTGTCGAATATTTGGAAGACCCTTTCGGTGAAGAACGGCTGAAGGTAGTTTAAAACAAATTAACACACAGAGGCAAAATTTGAAAAAACCAAAATTCAAGTTTCCGCTCTGACAAGCGACAACAAAAAATTCGCTCACGTTCTTCGAGATAACGATCTTCTTGAATTCTTCGCGCCGTATCTCCCTCTCGTTTCCAACGGTCTGTTTGAATATCTTTTCCAGCCACTCGAGATTTTTTTTATCAAAGCCCGCTGGTGGCCTGACGCAAAATTTTATTTGATTATTGAAAAATTAACAAAAGTAAAAAAAAATTTATAGAAAATTCAAAACACACGCGAAAAGTTTTCGCTGGTTTTGCACAGCAAGCACGGTATATTACCTGGTGCTACTCACGCTCGATATGAACTCCATGATCTGGGCGGATGTGATGTATCCCGAATTTTCTTGATCGATCAATCGGAACAACTTGTCGACGATCTGCAACAAAGAGAACGAGATGGAATACCAACACGTGTCGAACTCTCGTCAACGCGACTGAAGTTGGAAACAATTTCCTTCTCGATATTCCGTCTAACAATTAGCATTTATCTACGATTACCTTCTTTTACGTACATTCTCTTTCGCGACGACAATAAATCGTCGTTCGGACGTTCATTTTTGCATTAATTAATTCGTCCAGTTACGCGTCTCGTTTATACTCACTCCTTTGGTGTAGAAAATCTGCTGGAAACTGGAGAAGCTCACTGGATTCTCGCCGCACAGCACGTACGCCACGCTTTCTATCTGATCGATAAAATCCTTTTGCTTCTCGTTTCTGAAAAAAAAAAAAAACAGATGACAGTTTAATTAATTAAATTATTAAAGAGAAGCTCGTCGATATGTAAGTAACGAGAAATTTCTTTTATATTTCTTACATCAACCTTCCCCTCATGAATTCGATCCATTCCTCCTGCTTCAGCAACTCGTCGCGATCTTGATCGAAAAGGATAAACAGTTTTCCAAGGATCACCTGAAAAACAAAAAAAAAAAAAACATCCACGAACGTAAAAGTCGACGCGCGGGTGTGTGCATATGACAAATAAATATCTAGGACACGCGAGGAAGAAAAGAATATTGCGGCTGATAAAACCGATTTGTTAAGATTCTAGCCTCGGGTGTACATAAACGATAAACGTCAATTTTGTTACGATCGATATGACACGCATCGATCACCATTAGTGTAGATCTCGCCATGTGGCGGCGGTCTCTCGCTCTCGATCGTGAGAAGAAACGGGTCAATGTCGTAAGAGCTTCCTCGCGCAGCGCGATCCCAAGAAACACGAACACGTTCTAGCGTGACGCGCGAAAAAGTGTGAGTGTAAAAATTCATTTTTAAACAAATAGAAAGAGAAAATACAAAAAGAATTTTGTTTCGTATTTAATTTGACGAGATGTATAAAACTGCAATTTAAAACACGACGCTGTTAGTGACTAATCCGTGTCTGGCTTCTAAAATAAGCGATGCGACAGAACGTCCGATATCTCCTGGCGATCAATCAAATATTGTTGCGTTTCTCTCGCACATCGCGAAAACAACACAAAGAACGATAATCGTCGCGATCGTAGTGAGTAATTACGTTAGCCGGATGCAACAATCTGAACAAAAAGGAACTGATTGACATTGACTGCTACCAACTGTTAGAAACGCATGTAAAACATTTGAAATTGTCATCCAGGTTTCTACGTAATTAATTAGACGTAACTTTAGAGACGTAATTTGACGTTGCGATGTAAAACCTGTGTTTTATGTTTAGTACGTTTGCAAAGTGCGATTTAAGAAACATGAACGTCACAAAATTGCAAATTTTGCGATCGATAATGACAGACGATATCGCATCGCCGATTGGTGCCGATGGCGGTTAAGGGGTTAATGGATGGTTTTTAGTAAACGAGGTGTCGGTTTCAGCGCTCTACGATTGGTCTCTCCGATCGATCCCGAGAGACGCTCGGGGCATCAAGGCCTCGCGCCAGCGGCGATCGGCCACCTTGATCGAAAACCGAGAAGGGACCCTGGATAGAGAGTCCCCTTCGATCGTATCGTCACCTCGCTCTGCCTCGGGGTCTACTTTTCCTACGCGCATTCTTGCACGTTGTGTCGATCATGATCTCACAAAGGAGACGATTGTCCGATTACAGAAACAAAAAAAAAAAAAGAATGGAAACGACGCGAGATCCGATGTCGAAAATGCTTCAATTCCGATGAAGCGATTGCGAAAGACGCGCTGATTCCATTTCGGAGCGATATAAATTTTATTTTACAAAATCGCTATTAAATTTTACACAAACAATTTGCTACTATAGCAATTGTTTATTTGGCGAATATTAAAAATTTTCCATTTTTATTTAATTTTCTTGTTTCTTTATAAACAATTATGAAAAAATTTATAAATAATAAAATTTAAAACTTTTCAAATTTATTATCATTTTTCGTATATTTTGTTGTTTTTGTAAAGTGATAAATATAGACATGTCGCACTTGCATTGCGCAATGAAAATCGACGGCATATTCTGTCAGAATGTGAAATGATTAACTACAGATGCTTTTTTAATCTCACAGAGCGCCATTGTACGTATGCAAATTTTTTTCTCCGGCTCTTTGCATAACAAGAGAAAAAACATTTAACGACTGGACGTATTCTCTCGAATAAATGTGTTTATATTTTGCAATTAAGCGAAATGTGTATGAATAAAAAAAATACACACGCATATCCTACGACCTATATATTTGCGTTCTATCTGCGTTTTCGACTGAATTTTAGAGTAAAAATCTAAACTAATAAATTCGCAACAGGTTATCTATACCAATCTCGTGTCTAAAAGCACTTTACCGGTATTCTTTCTTTTGACAGGCTGACTGTTAAATAATTCATTTATTAGTTAAAAAAACTCACACCGAGTTCTTGCATTTCAAGGTTTTACTTTCTTTTTGACGTCGTACGAGTGCAATTGAAATCGTAACTTTTCGCGATTTTGATTACCAATTGCGACCGTTTCGATTGACAAGTCGGAACCATTTAAATGCAAATAAATTATCCAAACCGCAAGAGGCAATTCGAAACTCTGTAAACGCTCTCTTAAGAAGAACCGTAATTGCTCAACGAGCCGATATTCCCCTCCGGGTGGTGATGTAATTTTGAGGCTTCGTGCCTAGTGCGTGCCACGCGAGCCGTTTTTTCTTTTTTTCTTCGTGAAAGAAAGCGATACACAAGCCTCATAATTACAATACCTGTAATTCTTCTTCACGGTCGCTTTAAGAAAACACCCGGATTCCCGAAAACTGCGGCGGACAGACTTGTTGTTGACTATCAACATTTTTTTGCTTCTTATGCAAAAAAAAAGCCTCTCTTCTCGAGGGAACAACAGCGAATCGTGTTTTTGTGTCGCGTCTCAGATAAATTTTCCGCAAAAAAGTACTTTACGTTTTGCTCGCTTTAATCCCGACCGCAGGTGGTTTTTCTTCAAAACCGTATCTATATAACCAATTAACCAAGACTTTATTTTTTTTTTTTTTTAATCTGTATATGGTGTTTTTATGAACGCGCGCGCGTCATCAGACGATGTAAGCCGCCTTTGACCGTATTTTCCCTTTTTCTCTTCTTCGTTCGAACCTTAAAGTCTCGCCGACTTAATGATTTTTCTTTTTTTTTTCTTGCATCCGGTAATAATCGCTCTCTTATTATGAGACGCGGCCACTTCGTACTTTTTTTTTACGTGTCGGAAATACGGAACGCGTATACGAAACGTTGCAAAACTCTCTCTCTCGAATGGGCAAAAAAACGCTCGTAAAATTTAATACGCGCCACATAAAATTGAAATTGCCGTTTGTATTCTCGTATTTTACGAATAAAAGCGGTCGTTTTCTGTCTTGTCAGAGGAACCTCCTGACGACTTTATCCGTGGTTACGTCTGTGTTTGTGTGTGTTTTGAAAAAAAAATACATATACATATGTATATGTACATATCAACGTTTTACGCGTGTATTTACATATTTACTCTTTGTGACTTTTAATTCTCACTTTCTCTTATTTACATACGCATTAATTTACACACGCACTTGATTTTGAAAGAATCTTCTAAAGGCGTCCTTGCCGTAACGCCCGGATCCCTCCTCCCGCAATAGCTCTTTGCACTCCTTCAGGATGGCGGTTCTTCTTCTCTCGATTAGACACTCCTCCTCCATGCAGCTGATGTTCTCGTCCATATTGAGACACTTTTGATGATTACGGATTCCGCGAAGAAGAAGAAAAACGAAGAAACAAACTCACAGTCGCTTCGACAAGTCATTTCACGAGATCAACAGAATTATTTCCGACATTTGTCGCGCGTTCTCGTAGTAGTTCCGTTTGTTTATTTTGACGAGAAAATGAACGATCGAAACTTAACACACGCAGATCTCTCTTCGATTTGCAAAAATTGAGTTAAAATTAAAAATGCAAATGAAAAGAAAATATTATTCTACTTTCTTGATTTAACTACAAAGTTTCTCCGCGCTTCTACGATTCACCTTGTATCGATGCGAGATTCGCGGAAACTCAGCTGTATACAATGTAATGAAGTAAATACACGTTTGCCCAGTTACTATATGAGGCGCGTGTCGTGCGCGGCTGCCTTTTCATCAATTTTCCCTGGTCACGGAACAGTGACTCGAGGCGGGTTCTACACGCGCCCAAATAAGACCAGTTTCGAACTTAGAAGATCAGATATCAGAGCGAAACCTGTCATCGTTTCCGCGACGACATTTCGTCCGGCTGAATAATTCGTTGCGTAATTCACAGCCCTCGGTGCTCAGAAACGAAAAAAAAAAAAAAAAAAAAAAACATGCGTAAAACCGCAGGTGAACGTGCGCGAACGAGAAGAAACTCACTTATCGCACATGTATCAAAAGCGAGCGTCAAATTGCCGCGTCAACGTGTCTCGGCGTTACTGAGAGAAGTCCTGAATGAAAATCATCCTCGGGCATCAACGAACCGGCGAATCTCGTCGGTTCAAGCGCGATGTTAGGTGGCGGTAAATACTCGCGTTAAATCGCGACGAACGACACACGGGAAAGAGAAAAGGAGACAGACCGATGGTTTGTGCTATCGATTCAGATCGTGTGGGGATAGAGGAGAGACGAACAACCTTTCACTTTTTGACATGCTCTTGGTTCCTTCTTCTCTTTCCCTCTCTCTATTGCACGCGTGTTCTCTCTCTTTTTTCTTTCTCTGTCTCTCTTCATCTCTCTCTCTCTCTCTCGTTTCTGACGACCGAAATATATGGACCGGATATGTTATCTCTCGTATAAATTTGCGGAGAAACGAGTTTCGTTCCACGAGGGCTCCGGTTTAAATTCCTCTTTTTCCCAAATGTCAAATATGAATTTTCGCAGTTGTCTTGCACCTTAATTGCGACACGAGATTGCAAATTTTTCGCAGACGTTTTATCTTTATCGGATCTCGCATTAATATTCAATGCACGGCTCGGACCTGCGGCCGAACATTCGTTTCAATCCTCAATTGGATAAAAATTAACTTGTTCACAAATTTATGCATATTTAATTTATCCACTTAAATTTATATTACATGTGAAAATGTAATAAATAAAAAAATGTAAATACATTGGATTACCAGTGAAGAATTGAATTACGAAAAAAAAGATTTTGGAATTACTTTTTTTTAAGAGAAAGAATTTTCGTGCGTGTAACATCAAACGCTGTAAGTTTGTCGGAATTATCACGTGTGCTGAATTCGATCCATAAATGCCGTTTGGAGACGCGCCTGCGCTCGGCACCTGCGCTCTGGGGATCCTCGGCGACCTGAGTTCGCACGACGCGTTCGCGTTTGCTTTCCGATCTTGGACAGGACATCAACAACAAGCTATGAAGGTGTCCTGAGAGCCGACGCTCTTCTGAGAGATGAGCTCGTCGCCTTTAAAGCCAATCTGATACACGTCGCTTTCTGAACTCGCGGGGAAACTGCGGGAAATAATCGAAGTTCGATTATTATCAAGGAAAGGACAAGGTCTGATTGTTCTCACAAGCGTGCAGTTGTTGTTCGCGTTTGAATTTTTTTGTTTTTTTAAAACAATCTTCTGTCTTGATGCGCAGATGACGTTCAACGTGATACGATTCACGAATGTGCTGCTCTTCCTTCTGTGGTGGCCCAGCGTGACGAAGTGTCACAACACTCCCTGCAAATTCAATAGCATGTGCATGTGCTGGGTTCAGGACGATGACGACTACACCAAGTGGGACATCAGTTGCGTGGGGGTGCCGTTCGCGCGATTTCCCGGTAATATATCAGAAGAAACGTAGCGAATCGATTTTACACTTGTGATAAACGATCGTGAGGAAATGTTTTGCAAAATATTAATTGTTTAGACGTGGCGGAGAGCTACGTGGCTCAATTGGACATTGCCGGCTCCGGCATGCAAGTGCTGGACAACGACGCGCTCGCGAGTTCCGCGAGCGTCGAGGGTCTGGGACTGATGAGCAATCGGTTGTCCAGCATAGGCGAAAAGTCTCTGTTGTGAGTTGTTTTTCGAAGTTTAATTGTTGAAGAACTTGTTTTGTTTTCTTGTAAGAATTATCTTGCGTCTGGTAATTTTTCTGCGATCGAGAGATTAAATATTCTCAATATTTTTTCTTTTTTTTGTAAGAGGTGTTACGGACAGTCTACGTTCGCTGGACCTAAGCTACAACTCCCTCGAGGACGTGCCTTTCAAAGTTTTTTGCGATCTCAAGAAATTAAATTTTCTCAACATGCACAGGTACACGATAGACAGCAAACAAGTTTGACTTTTGCTACATTTTTTGCACAAATCGAGATTTTAGTAAAATTGGAATAAAATTTTTTAAATAAAAAATTGAAGTAAAAACGATTTTTTAAGAAAATACATAAAATTTTTATCAAATATCAGCAATCATTTGACGTCGTTGGACGGTGACTGGGGCCGCACTAAGGACACCTTGACGGACGCGTTCTTCGGCGACAATTCGATCGCCGAGGTGCCCCAAGTCTTCTCGAGTTTCAGCGCGCTGGTTTGGCTGAACTTGGACAGCAACAACATCGAGGAGCTATCCGAGAATTGCCTGCCGCCGAAAATGCACACCTTGAGTATCAACAGCAATCTTCTGAAGGAGTTCCCACAGTCGCTGGGGAGTCTGAAAGATCTCACTTGGCTCTACATGAGAGGAAACAACCTTAAGCACCTGGAACTGCCCGATTTCCGCAGCTCCAGTTTGGAGCTGATCGACGTAAGCGAGAATTCGATCGAGTGGATAAAAACCCCCATCCTGAACAACCGCACTCTGAGAGTGCGACACTTCAATCTCGACGGGAACAAACTGCTTTCGTTGCCGGCTCTAATGTTCGACCATCTCGAGATCAAGCGAATTCACTTGTCGTCGAACAGTATCAGAAACGTCGACAACGAGGCTTTTCACGGTCTGGAAGGCAGTCTCGAGTACTTGAACATGGAGAACAACAATTTGCCGGCCGTGCCGAACGCTGTCAGTCAGTTGAAAGTGCTGTCGTATCTTTACCTGGCTAATAACGAGATCAGAAACATCTCGGGTGACGCCTTTCAAGAATTCGCGGACCATCTGAAGGCTCTGTCTCTCGCAACCAACAATCTCGACGCAGTGCCCGTGGCTGCTCTGTCCAGGTACTTCTCTCTCTTTAATACCGTTTGAAAAATTAATTTCCGTGAAAAAAAAAAAAAAGTAATTTTAAAACAGTTACATTGAATCCAGAAAATTAAAGTTTTTTCACGTTTATTTGTTACAAACATTTAAGTTCGTATTTCAAGAAGACAAGATCATGCAAATCTCTACTAATGCGCACGTAATTGCATCTCGAACTCGTAGTCGCGGGACGTGTGTTCTTGTGCCACATTCGCGAAGGAGTTCCTCGTAACAAGATGATAGATCGTAAAGGTCAAAATAAATAACACGGTGAGCGCGCGCGCGAGATACGAGTAACACGGGATCCTAATAACGGGAAGTTTGATGCAATGATGATCAATTTTTCGTAACAGATGCCAGAGGCTACTGCATCTGAATCTCGGCTATAATAAGATCTCTCACGTCGAGCCCGGGGATTTCGAGTGGGCGGAGGACCTTGAGATTCTATTGCTCAGGAACAACATCCTGACAAAACTGAAAGCTGAGACCTTCAAGGGAGCCGGTGCGTTGCCCGTAATCCTCTTGCGAAAGTTCTTTTGTTCAAGACACTGTCAATGATTCGAAAATTAAATTCCTTACGCCGCTTACTTTCAATATAGTTATGCGTCTGATTAATTAATTAAGAATGAAATTTATGTGTGCGCAATTTAATTTTATAAACTTTGATTTAATTTTGTTTGTTTTTTTTTTTAGGCAAGTTAGAAGAACTCAGTTTGTCTTTCAATCACCTGACGGAACTCGACGACAACTGCTTCGTGGGGCTTGAGGAGAGCCTGGAGATCCTAGAGTTGAGCTTCGCCTTCGCCACGGACGTTTTTCCACAGCGCGCATTGAGGCCGCTTCTGAACCTCCGCTGGCTGGTTCTGGACAACAACAACTTCCAGACCATTGAGCCAACAGCCTTTTACTCGTTTCAACAGCTGCAGTACATCAACATGGAATCGAACAGGCTGCACTATCTGCCCGAGAGAATATTTCTCTCGAGCGTGCATCCGGAATTGCGAGACGTCAAGCTGGGATACAATTTTCTGGAAGCGATTCCGGAGTCGAGCTTTCACAATTTAACCGAGCTGCTGTCTCTCGATCTGACCGGCAATCGAATAAGAGTCTTGTCGTCCGGCTCCATCGTGGACTGTCCGAAACTGGTAACCATATCGTTGGCCTACAACAGAATACAGAAAATCGAGAAAAACGCTCTATACGGCTTATCCAGTTTGCGCTTTCTTCATCTGGAGTTCAACAAGCTGACCGTGCTCGATCTGGCCGCGATCGCGGAAATCGGCGGTCCCGACTTCGCTCTGAACGTTTCCTACAACGCGATCGCGCTCGTCGATTCCGGATCGTTGATGAACAATCTCACCAGACTGGACATCGGATTCAACAACATCAGTTACTTGCCGGCGAACACGTTTTACGGCACCCCCGACATGAAGAGTCTGAACATGCAAAACAATTATCTAACAACGATCGAACCGGGTGAGAACAAATTTATCAAAATTAAAACAAATTCATTAAAATTTTTTATTATATAATAATATAATATTACGCGCTGTTTCTCAGGAACGTTCGCGCTTCCTCACTTAGAAACTTTGGACCTGAATCACAACAAGATAGACACATTGCGCAAGCAATCTTTCCACGGCCTGGAATCCCTGCAGCGGATGAATCTCGCCGGAAACGAAATCACTCAGCTGTCGACCGAACAGTTCAGAAACCTGAAGAATCTGAGGATTCTGAATCTCTCTCACAACAAGATTCGATCGTTGCCGAAGGACGCTTTCGAGGGCACCAGACTGGAAATCCTCGATCTCAGCCACAATAAGTTCACAGTCGTACCTTCGTCGTCGTTCTTAGAAGTCGGTTACACCCTGCGGGATCTGAACATGGCGGAGAATTTCTTGGATCATCTCGACTCGTCCGCTTTTCCAACTTCTCAATTGGTGTTTCTGAATTTAGCGCAAAATCGACTGACTATTCTTCCCGACAACTCGTTCGTTGCTCTGGGAAAGTTGTTGAGTTTGAACGTGTCTCAGAACATTCTCCAGGCAAACTTCAAAGAGCTGTTTCACTACTTGCCGGATCTCAGACAGCTTCACTTGGCCAGTTGCGGCCTGCGAACTATACCGCTACTGCCATTAACAAACTTGAACGTCTTGGATTTGTCTTTCAACAATGTCGATGAAACCACTGACAAGCAGTTTCAGTATCTGGAGGGTTTGAAGATTCTCTTGTTGGTAAATAACTCGTTAACATCGATGCCCGATGTTAGATTGAGTCTCTTGAGGGAACTCGACGTTTCCGGCAATCCTATTGAGGTGAGTTAACACTGAACTGCTTCTCGGGAAAAAAAAAACAACTAAAAGAGTCGTATTTGACAATTTTGCAGGAATTAATAAAAGAAAATTTTCTCGGCTACCCGAGACTAGAAAAATTAAACTTGAGGAACTTGAATCGGACCAGATTGGTGGATAACGAGTGTCTGCGACCTCTGAAATATTTGAAACATTTGCGAATTCAAACATGGCCGCAGGCAGACGGCTTTCATCTGCGCAATTTGCTGTCCGGCTTGCCGCTACGCACGGTCGAGATCCAAGTGACGGAACACTTGCTGAAGCATCAGATACAAAACGCTTTTACGAAGCAACTGAGAGAACTGACCATCACCGGCAGCGATCTCGAACTGATCTCTTCCGAGGCGTTCTCGACCATTGAGGGCGGCGAACTGATATTGAGAATTAAGGACACGCACGTCCAAAGACTACAGTCGGATATTTTTCTGTCGCTGACAAAGAGACTGTCGCAACTCACTTTGGATTTGAGGGACAATCATATCAACGAGCTCAGCCCGTCGATAATCTACGGAAATCTCTCATGGGAGACCGTAGGGACCAACATGGTGGCCGGTAAGCTTGCGATAAGTCGCAAGAGTTGCTCGATATAACATCGTGTTTTAATAAAAAAATTATATTAAAATATAATAGTTTTATATTTTACGAATTTTTTAATTACCAATTTTCAATTATTAATTGTTTTCGACAATTTTCTCATCAGGTGGACTGCAGGTGTCCGGAAACCCGCTTGAATGCGACTGCGAGATCGCCTGGTTGAGTCTCTGGCTGCGCAGATGGCTCAGAGAATCTCGACAGATTCACACGGCGTCGCAATCCGACGCCAGACAACTGAGGACCATAGCCGGCCGAGCTGTGTGCACGGAAACAACCCCGTCTTACTCCTCCGACAAGGTCCTATTGACTCTGGGAACTCCGCACACCGCCTGTCAAGCTTCCGCCCTGAGTTCGGGAAACTACGAACGACTGGCAACAGCCTGGCTGGCCTTCGTCTTCATCCTCGTTTTCATAGCTACTTAACCGCGAGTTTGTATCATAATCTCCTCGGATCTAGTCTTCAAAATCGCATGTGATTTTTTATGTAAGATGTTACTAGCAAAAGTGATTAAAAAGAATTGTAAAAAAAAGATCGTATCTCGTTGTTTCACTCGCTCGAGGAACGCGAGAAAAAAAGAGGGATGTCTCTCGCGAAACTAACAAGAACGACAAAGGAGAGTGTGGAAGAAAATTATTTTTTTTTGGTTTTATTTACAAACACAATGTGTGTTGTCGTGATTTCGTTTTGTGCTTTTATACAAATGGCGAAGGCAGAGAGAGAGAGAGAGAGAAAGAGAGAGAAAGAGAGAGAGAGAGAAGATATACTCGAGAATGGAAAAAGATTTCTCAAGAAATACAGACACAATGTCAACTTAAGGAATAAAAAAACAAGATAAAAAAAAAAAAAACATTCGAAGAGCAGAGAACTTGTTACAACGCGCGATGATATGAAAATATATGTACGTACTAATTATTATATTGCTTTCTTGCTTGCGAAAATCGATGAATACCTTTAATAATAATAATAATAATATTATTTTTTTTTTCCTAGACACTCTCGTCGCTTTTATATGATACAGTTTTGCGTGCCGCGGAAAATTTGAAAAAAATTTTCTTCGCGCTTTTACACGGGCGGCGCCTGCGTGTGTTGCAAACATCCCTCGACGTTTTCAGGCCAGTCGCAAACGTTCTCGTTGGGATTGAAAACCAGATTTACGGGACAGGGCATGTGGTGCTTGCGCTCGCCTTCGCACATGTAGTACATCGTGCAGTCGTTCTTGTCCGCGTGATAAGATATGTGATTGTCCTCCTCGTCGCACGTCACTTCGTTCGCTGCAAAACATTTGTTTCGATATTGAAACCTTCTGCTAACAAATCTCATCTCAAAATTCTCGGACACTTTGCGATTTTAATTTATTTTTCAATTGCGAGAAAGACAATTGTGATTTTTTTCACTTACGATCCTTGGTCGTATATTTGCCACTTCTCGAGGTGCTCTCATAGGGGCCGTCGTATTCCAGTTTGACTTTGTAGCTTTGCAGTTCCTTCTTCATTGCTTTGATTAACGGATATTTTCCCGACCCGCAGGATCCTCTGAAATCGTCCATGTCGACCGACCAGATCATGACGCCTCCGAAACCTTCTTCCTTAAGCCAGGCCATCTGACAAAAAGATATAAAATATTGTTTTGAATTTTTTTCTTGAATGTATATTTTTTTATACAAAAAACATTTTCTGTCTCCGCGCACCTTGTTGATCAGACTCCTCTCGTCGTCGAATCCGACCCACTGATCGTCTCTGTACGCGAACGGCACTTGCTGCTCGCTATCCCACACCAGAGTCGTGTTGTCTTCGTTCAAGAAGCTGCAGACCTGTATTTTTTAAAATACAAGAGATTTGATAACAAAACAAAATGTAATTAAATATTAACATAAAATAAAATTAATAAGATTAAATTTAAAACAAAATATATAAAAAAATAGAATTTAATTAAATAAATTTAAGTTTAAAATTAAATCAATTTATATTTATAAAAAAATCGGGCACCTCGTAATAGGACAGAAATCCGGCCTCGTTGGTGAAGTTACCCGCGACACCACCGCCGGACGCTGGCGCGCCGATGTCAAATTTATCCTTGTCGACTAACGTGAAGGATCTGCCGTACGTGGGCATTCCGATCATGAGCTTCTCCTTCGGCGCTCCTTGCTTCACCCATTCTCGCGCGCTGTAATCCTGATACGCGCGCGACGCAATGAAATAAAAGTGTGAATTTGAACATTTTTTATGCGATCCCAAATACTTACCACCGTTAATTTTTTCTGATAACTGGTCGCGCTTTCCAACGGGTACAACGGACTGTTGTGGCCGACCTGTGTCAAAAAAAACAGAATTTAATTAATTTAATTAATAATTTAAACATCGAATTTTTTATATTGAGACGAAAAAGAATACCTGTCTTTCCCATTGGCCATGGAAGTCGTACGCCATTACATTGATAAAGTCAAGGTATTTAGAGATTTCAGGAACATCGTATCTACAAAAAAAAAAACATTTGTTTTATTTTTTTGTTCGATTAGTTAGAAATTTCACTGTACAAAGAAGGTTACTGTATCGGTTTTTTATATTTAAAGTCTACTGTTGTGTGATATTTACCCTGCGGCGATAGCTTCGAAACTCGCAGGCACCGCGGCCGACAAAATTAGTTTCGGTTGGCCGGAGCTTTTCGCCTCGCCCTCGAAAGCCAGCCTGAGTTCCTTCAAAAGATTAACGTAGGCCGTTCGATCGTCGGCTCCTCTATTAAAAAAAACTCCATTTCAAAAAGTGTTCCATGTGTATTTTTAATAAAAACAAAAAAAAAAAACAAACCTTGGATACTCCCAATCGACATCCAATCCGTCGAATTTGTATTCTCGCAAGAAGTCGATGGCCTCGTAAACGAATTGATTCATTCGGAACGTGTTGCTGGTAAGTTCCTTGAAAGGTGTCGAGCCGAACGCCCATCCTCCGATTGCGAGTAGAATCTGAGGAAATTTTCGTGAAACACGAAGCAACGTGCCAGAGAGAGAGAGAGAGAGAGAAGATACGCGTGCGTTTCGCGAAGAGAAACTTACCTTAATGTCCGGATTCTTGTCGCGGAGTGCGATCAGTCTGTGATACATTTCCGCGTCCTTGTCGCTTCCTTCGGTGAGCAGGTGATCCTTCAAGGTGGCGAACGCGTATACCACGTGGGTGCAGAGAGTCGGGTCGATGTCTTCCGGACTGAATCGTCCCATTCCCGGTCTTTTGTGCGACCAGTTCGTCAGGTAACAAATAGTTTGCGCCTCTCTCTCTGCGAAAAGAAAAAAAAAACTTTCACTACGACGCGATTAGTCGTCGGACACTTGAAAAATTATCGTAGCTGACATTTCAATGTGATTTTTAGTAGAAATTCAATTTTTTTTTGTCGATTCGTGAAAGTAAATTTAAAAAAAGATCCTTTTGAGAGAAACTTAATTTACCGTTGACCGGAGTGTTGATGACGAGCTGCGTCGACTTTTGAAGTTTCTTCGACTTGCTGAGCACCTCCGAAACGGAAATCTTGTGCGGTTCCGGTTTCTTCACGATCGTCTCGGTGATGGTGGTGGCGACCGCGCTCCAGTCGACGTCCTTCGCGTTGGAGCCCCGCGAAATACCCATGAGTTCCTCCCTCATCGCGCCGATCAGAGGATAACGAACGTTTCCGCCGCAAACGGTGCCGTTGAAGTCGTCCATGTCTATCGTCCACACCATCGCGCCTCCGTAACCCTTGCTCTTCAACCAGTGCATCTTGTTCCTGATGGACTTCTCGTCGTCAAAGCCGACCCACTGATCGTTGTGCACCAGATAAGGCACCTTCATCTCGTCATCCCAAACGTAGGCGGCGCCGTTGTGCAACATTTCGCAAATCTGGAATCGAAGGACAACTTTGTGTACGCGTGTCGTCACACTCCTAGTTGTGACATTGCGCGGATATGTCGCTTGAAAACAAAAAAAAAACCTACGCTGGTGTTTTGACGGGATAAAAAAAAGAGGAGATACCTCGTAATACGCTAGGAAACCGGATTCCTTCGTGTACTCGCCGGCTTTTCCGCCTCCGTTGGACGGCGCGTGCACGCGGAAGTTGGCGGAGTTCGAGAGGGTAAAGGACCGGCCGTACGTGGGCATTCCTATGATGAGTTTTTCCTTCGGTGCGCCCAGCTTGACCCACATGGTGGCCGCGTTGTCGACGCTCAATTGTTTCTGCCATTCCGAGTCCAGCGACGAGGCGTACAGCGGGGCGTTGTGACCGGTTTCGCGCTCCCATTTCCCATGGAAGTCGTAGGCCATGAGATTAATGAAGTCCAGGTAACTGTGTGTGAGAGAACGAAAACAGAAAACACACAAACGCGTTTTGAAGTGTGAGAAAATGCAGATCGCGCGAATTCACAGCGAAGTTAATTTTTATTTGCACGTACCTGGCGACAGCGGGCACGTCGTATCCGCTCTTAACATTGTCAGGTCCGACCGGCACCGCAGCGGTCAGCAGGAGACGCGGTTTCTTCTTCTCCTGCGCCTCCGCCTCGAAGGCCTCCCGGAGCTCTGCGAGAAAGCGATGAAAGATGAGCTCGACGGTGGACGACTCGCGAGTGGAAATGTCAGGTGTTCCACGTATTTCGCGTTTGTTCCATTGGAACAAACAAGAGCTAATAATTAATCCTTATCGAGATGCGGTGCGTCTGACATTTCCAGTCGTTTGCTCTTTTCGCGTGTCTTTACCCTTCAACAGCAGAATGTAGTTCTTCTTGTCGTCCCCACCCTTCGGATATTCCCAGTCGATGTCAAGGCCGTCGAAGTTTCTGTCCCGCAGATACGGTATGGCGCTGTAGATGAAGGTTTGTCGGGCGTATCTCGTCGAGGACACGTCCTTGAACTTTTGCGTGCCGAAGGACCAACCACCTGGTCAGAGATACCGAGGAGATCGTTTTATTCGACGGATTCGCGTGATAATTTTAAACAAAAACTCATTATCGCGCGACGCCAATTGCATATATACGGGGATTGTGTCAATAATTTAACGGGGGACTCGACAACGACGCGCAGAAAAGAAATCGAGCTAAAAGGAAGCTTACCGATCGCAAGCAGAACCTTCAAGGACGGGTTGGCTTTTTTCAGATTTACCACCCTCTCGTACAGGCCGGTCTTGCCGTCCTTCGTTTCGTCGTTCGATTCGAAACTAGTCAGTTTGTTTTTCTTCAGCCAGCCAAAGGCGAAGATAACGTGGGTGCAGAGGTCAGGTTGAATGTCCTCCGGCAAGAACTTGCCGATCTTCGTGCGATACTGAGACCAATTTGTGTAATAGCACACCAGCTGTGAGTAAAGAAAACACGTCGAATTAACGCAGAAACTTTTTAATTAAAGAAAAATAATCTTCTTTGTTTAAAATATTCCGAGATTACGCGCGCAGAGAAATTTACTATCTCTGAACACCGCTGAGATTTGTCGAAACTGGACTCTAAATTTTTTCGGACTGTCCATTTGTCTTGCACAATTGTTAATTAATAATTGTTAATTTGCGAATTAATTAATTCAAACGTCAGACACGGCCGTTTGAAGCAAACCGACGTTTACCTTGTAGTCGTTTGTCTTGCCAGGTTGAAGCTCGTTCTTCGTGCTCTTGTTGTTGACACGATTTCGCGTGACCTTGAACCTGTTGACACTGGCTGAGACTTCCTGATCGTTTGAGATCGACGGCGCGGAAGTCGTCGGCCTGCGGAATCTCTTCCTCGCACCTGATGATGATGATGATGATGCACACACAATCACCGGATAATTACGTAAATTCGTTTCGATTCTCTTTCCGCGCGGCGGAAAATTACATAATCTCGGGCATGCACGAATATATATGTTTCAACGTTGCGTAAGATTTTTCGCGCTTATACACGACACGAAACCTCGAAAGGCAAGTGCCTTTCACCCGTTTGAATCGATTACCCTGGAACCGTTTTGCATGTGTGACGCAATATCAACGAGATCCTTTTGCTGCTTTTTCGGATATAATATTGTTGTTGTATAATACGACGAGCTCTTTTGTGTGCGACACAGGAAACGGAATTTTGTCTCGCGCAGGTGTAGACGCTCTTGGACGGATAAAGAAAAGAAAAGAAAAATTGACGTAATCCAAAGTGGGCGATTTGTTATGTCGCGGGAACTGAAGATCCTGATGTAACAACCGTCGCGATATTACATTGTTGATCAATAGCCGGTAATGAGTCATTACTGGAAAGAGGTTTAATAAGCAAACCCCTCAATTCAAGTGTCCCGAATCGTCACGACGGTGGTGATTAGCTCAAACGCGGGATTAATAAACGGTGGAAATAATTACGGGGTTACCTTCGGCATGTTGGAGAAGGCCTAGAAGCAACACCGCGAAACAGACGAGTAGCAGCCTCCGAGTAGAACTGCTGATCGATACCTGAAAAGAAAGTGAAGGTGGAGATATAAGCGCAACAACTACAGGTAAGGTAACAATGAGAGTTTTTAGTGCGAGACTTTAACGCGCCGCCGTGTATCACTTTCGATGAAATTTCTCCGAACCGGAGCACGTCTGAAGAACAAATAGTCACATTGCATTGTTGACGAATGTAAATTGGCAGAGAATTTCGGCTCTTGGATGTATTGTCAGTAAATGTGTAAAAAAAGTCAGAAGAACTTTTTGAGAAGCTATTTCATTTTTTATATTTTGTTTATGATAGTTTGTTGTTTTGATATTTTGTTTACCTCAGGATATTTTGACATCATTTATTGTAAGTCAATTATTCAATTATTGTATTTTTTACATTTATTAATTATTTTTTTGTTTATTTATTTATTTATTTATTTATTTATTATTTATTATTTTATCATCAACAAATCTTGACAATATTATTAATTGATTTTGATGAAAACCGTTCAAAACGTTTGTTGATTTCGCCAATTTAAAAAGTAAAAATATTTGTCAATGCGCCAATATCTGCGGCTCTGTCTGAAGTTTTTACGCGCTCCTTGTTCGATATACGTGATTGCTGAAAGCGGTGCAGTTCATTAACATAATTCGTATTTTTACGAGACAGAGTTTTTAGTAAAGTCGAATTGTTGGTTTTTACAAGAGAAAAAAGCTCAAGCAACTCTTTTAATTCTATCTTTTCTAGACTTGCGGTTGCGCAAGTTGTGTCAATGCAAAGAAAACGGCAGGCAGTTTGTTTCTTAACTCTGCATATTTCTCCTGTCATGTGCACAACTGTTCATGCGCGATGAGGTCAACGACCCGAGAGATACGGTTCTCCGGTCCGCGGGTATATTATTCATCGGTCTGCATCGGTGTGTGTGCTGCAGGGGAGAGAAATTTACAATATCGTTTATATTCGCGTTCGATTAGCAATCCCGCGACGAAGACAACGGCGAAAGTCTACTAACGGCGGGTTTGTTATTGCGATGCCGACAATCAAATTACCGATCGCAAATTGTTCCACAACAGACGACAACGAGGATTACGAGTGCTCTGTGTTGTGCGAAGGAAAATGAATTGGTAATCGAACGTAGAACGCCGTGGGAGGTTAATTGGTTACAAACCTGCCTCTCTCTCTCTTTCTCGCGCGCTCGCGCGCGCGAATGCTTAGAATAATTCGAGATTACATCAGAACTGAAAGTAAGTATATCACAAGCGATAATAAAATCACCGAGAAAACTGACACGCTTTTCGCACTTTTCTTTTTTTTTTTTTTTTTATCTCTCTTCACTTCTCATCACGGATTTGTCGCGCGCTCTTTTTTTCTGTCACAGATACTAGTCACATTTTAACAAAGTTTTCGCTTTTCAAGTCGCGTATCGAATCGCATAAACTTTTCAGACGAGCGTTTTTATTGTTTCAAGTCGCCGAGTTTGAATGCGACTGTAATTTATTCCATTTTAGCGGATAAGGTGCTTGACCGATCGCGTGATTCACACCGGGCGACCGTTTTCCATCCGTTCTTGAGAAATATCTCGCGGCCCGCACACAACACAATAATGTAATGTAATCGCGATGCGATTTTTCTGAAGTACTTACGGACAAACGCGCGCAAACAATCGTCTGATCGCTACGATAGTTACATGTGGAATCGAGAAAAAAGATTCGAAACGATGTTCGTTGGCATCCGAGAAATGCAGAAGGTAATTGTTAGATCGCGTTCCAGCAATTCATCGTTAAATAAACGCGCATAGTTGCATGTAAATCCGCGGAATTACATCGGAGAGGAAAACAAAAATAGGTGAGCGAGCGTGGCCAGCAGAGTGTAAAAAACATTCCGGAAAATAACTTCACGCTTTAGATATTATGTTCCTTCGGAATTCAGGAAAAGAATTTTAATTTACAAAAGGGAGACCTCGCGAACTCGCACAGATTGTCTGATTTTAATAAGAAAAAACACTCGTAATAAATAAATAAAGTTTTGATCAATTTAAATCAAAGAATGGGACTTTATAGCCGTTTTACAAGTTTTGTTTAACGTGCAAATTAATACACGTGGAAGGTTAAATGGATAATTCATATAAATGCGAAAGTAACATCCTATAAGAATTTTTTTTAGAATTGTTATTCAATTTAAATTATCTGCGTGTTGTATTAATTTACACGTTAAGCGAAAATATAAATTTCGCACGTACGTCCAGCGTACAAGTGGCTACAAAGTCCCACATTTCTCTCTTGATTTGTTATTGAAGTTGTATTATTTATTTATTTGTCACGACATTTTTTTTCAATAACAAAATTAAATAATCTGTGTAGGTTTGCGAGATCGCACAAATTAACATTCCTTTCCTCTTGTTTAGTAAATATTCCATTCTATTTTGAAATTAATATATTCAAGTACTGACGACTCTCTCGCTCGATCTTTCTCAGAGATGAAATATCCGCGAAGTATTTAGCACATTGGAAGTGCAATCTTTCCTCCCTGAATTATCTCCGCCGTACGATCATCAAAGACAAAGCGGGATTGTTCGTACGCTAATCGCACGAAGTTTTCACTCCCGCGATGAAGAGATCGCATTACACGCTCCATCGCGTTTTCTTTTTCTTTTTTTTTTTTTTTTTCTAAACAACGACGATGATCGGCAAGCGGGATGAAACATCGAAAATAGTCGTTGTAATTGATCGTTATCGTTCTCGCTTGTGTTTAATTATTATTCGCAAAGGAGGAAAGCGCTTCGGCGAATCGGTCCGCGAGTTTTTCGAGGCCATGGCCGACGAGCGGATTGTTTTTTTTTCTTTTTTTTTAGTCGTCCGATCTGTATTCCAGCCACGAGAGTCTGGAAAGTTCTTAACCTCGTGAACCTCCTCCTCCTCGCGGAGATTGCTGAATGTCATTACGCGACATGGCTTTAATGATATTCAGCGCGGAGCGCGCGCGCGATTTCCCTCCCCGCTTTTATATCAATACCCCGAGCCGTTCTCTACCGCCGTGTCTTCGTGTGCGACGACGACGGTGAGTTCGATATCTCTCGAAGAAGTGAAACTTCTCTTTCCCGCCGCGTCCTGCAAACTGGCCGTTCCGCACGACGACGTGCCGTTTATCGAAGAGAATGAATTTTATTTAATTTTTTTTTTTTTTTTTTTTTGATCGAAATCGGAGAACTTTAACAACGCTCCGTGTCACTTCTAAAAATGTTTGCGTTTGAATCGAATGTTTTCCTGTTTCTGATTCTCCTCGATTTCAAGGTGGAGCTCGCGACACGAATCAACGAACAATATGTGAAATTTGCGTCCGAACGATGTGAAACACACGTTTCAAAAATCGTTTCCTCAAAGACTGCGCTTGTAATGCAGAAGCTTACATAAATTGACATAAGATGTCAATGACGGAGGAGAAAACGATAATTGCAATTGTAACATTTTCAGTTCCCCGATTTCACTTTGCGCGAAGATGCGTGTGTGCAAAAAGATTGCCTGGACTGACGAAAAAAAAAAAAAAAAAAGAAATAGACATCGAGCCGTTCAAACCCGTCATTAAAATTGCGGTTTCAGAGCAAATCCCGTTTCACAACATCTTACATGCGCCTCTCGCCGCGTTTTCTAAAACGTTATTTATCTTCCATAAACGTCACCGCGTGTAAACGCGAGCGAACAAACGAGAGCGCGCGCGCACGCTCCACATTCGCTCGCTGCATCGTTCACACAATGGTCATATCTCGTCGAAACGAAAAATTACCCGTGCCCGCCCCCTTTCTCATTTTTTCACCTCATTGCTCATTGTCGAGAGCGCGCGCTCTCGCATCCAACGTGAGAGCGAGTCCACGTTACACTTCTTCTTCCTCGGACCTCCGAGGTGACTTCGTTCGTTAGCTCGGGTTATTAATTAAACCGAGATACGCGGGGAGATTAAGTCTCACACGTCTCTAGCCCTCGTCTCTCCTCGGGAAGAGAAGGGGATTTGCATACAAGCGTGCGCGCAAATCCTCCGCATCGTAGTCGCGGAGAGAGCGAGAGATTTTCTATGTAGCCTTCTTTTTTTTTTTTTTTAGAACGCGGGTTCCTATTGCGCGACTCCTTCGTACACACAGCCATTTGAGTATCCGTGACTTGGCAGGATGATAATTTCCAACGTTCCTCTTATATAGCAACGCTGTGCAACGTCCCTCGCTCGCGCGCGCGAGTCTAGCCGATGTGTAAAGGGAATGTGTTTAAATCGCGACGTGTCGGGTTTCGTCGACCTCTCTTCTCACCGTAGGAAGAGGTGCACGACACGTCACGCGAGCGCGCGGCAATCGCGAGATTTTTGCCGGACTTGTCCCGAATACGGTCTTGTATATATGATTTCTTCGCGCGGCAGAACACGATCGGTGTAAATCTTCTTCTCTCGCGAGGGAATTCGAGATTGTACCGGTTTCAATTCCTTCTCGGTGTGTTTCTCTTCTTGCGATTAGCATCTGAAATCGCGTTGTGAAAATCAACGCAAGTCCGCGCGCGTTACCGCGTCGCGTCCTCGTTTTACGTTCGAGATACGACGAGCGAATAGCCGGGAGAGAGAGAGAGAGAGAGAGAGAGAGAGAGAGAGACGCACACACAGGATGCGAATGGGAGATGCGCTCTTGCCGGTCGATTTTTGCGGCGGATTCTAGATCGACAGATCCGCTCATCCGTGAAAATTTCACCAAAGCACCTCAACGACGATGTTCTCCGCGCGCGTACTTCTTTCCACGTACGCGCGCGGAGTTCGGGATTTTCGAAAGTTACCCGCCTGTTGTCGTAAAGGTACGCGCGCCGTCCCAGACTCGACCGTCTAATTGTTGATTCGCCGCCAACGAGAGAAATCGATTCTCAACCGTCGCCTATTAAGGGGGAAAATGCAATTATGCGAACGATTATGCGCGCGCGCGATCGGTATCGGTTGCACGACGTTTTCCCTTTTTCTCGCGAACGTAGACAAAATTCATGTGAATTTTGTCGTCAACAATTTTCTG